CTGTGTGTGTCTCTGTGTGTGTCTCTGTGTGTGTCTCTGTGTGTGTCTCTGTGTGTGTCTCTGTGTGTGTGTGTGTGTCTCTGTGTGTGTGTGTGTGTGTGTCTCTGTGTGTCTCTCTGTGTGTGTGTGTCTGTGTGTGTGACCTGGGGCCTCCAGCTTCGGGGCCGCTCTGTGCCGTCTCCTCTCTGCTCTCTCTTCCCAGCTTGGACAGGTTGAACTTGGTCTGCAGCGTCATCTGCAGGTTCCCCGTGTAAACCAGCTGCAGCTGCACCCACAGGCCTGCAGGGGGCGCACAGAGCAGCTCAACACCAGGCTGACAAGACAGGCCAAAGGTCATGGTGCCTAATCTGATCCCGCGTCTGGTTGAGAAGATCAGGTCAGAATCATTAGTCCTCTTTAGAAGCTGAGGGAGAAGGGAAGATCTGGTGGAAGGATGATCTCTGGATGTGCCATATAAGGACACTGACTTCTATATTTACTAGAGCTGGAATTAGATTCAAATTTGAATCTGGTTAATTGCAGGTTCTGTAAGTAATTAACCATAATATGACACTTTAAATTCCAATTCTCTTTTTCCTGCTAAATTATTTAATGAATATGGTCAGATATGAACATAAGAGATATTTCTGGTTTTTATTCTTCAGGTTGTTGTAGCATTACCTGCTACATGTTACCATTCAGGTGCTATTTTAGGCTAACATAGCTTTGCTAATGGGCTAATTGCTGTTTGCACAACTTTAGCACAACAATAGTGTTTTCATGTTTTCATTGACCAATCAGATCATTTAGAAACAGAAATGAACAGAGAATCAGCTTCCATCGCTGCCGTTAGCGATGTAGCTTTAGCATCGCAGATAAGAAATTGTGGTTTTGGGCAGAATCTTAATGTGTAAAAAAGAAACTAAAAACCAATTGCATTTAATCCATGTAATTATTTGAAATGTGTTAAATGTATTTTGCTATAACTTGTTTTTTTATTTTACCAAAATGATTGTAGTAATGCTGTGAATGGTGGTAGAGGAGCCAGCAGGGGGCAGTCTGGCTCCTGGTGGAGCGGGATTTAAAAACACTCAGAAGTGGAGAAGAACCACAGATAGAAAACAGGACGAACAGATTTAGACGTTTAAGAAAAAAATGCATTAAAATCTAACTAATCAAAACAAAAGCATTAAAGTGTTAGCATCTTCTGAACAGGAAGCTGCAGGCTGAGCTGACCTCTGTGGTTGACCTCTGGCCTGGAGGCGGCCATGATGTGTGGCATGCTGCAGCCCATGTCCAGCTCGGTCAGCGTCAGCTCGTTCATGAAGTAAGGCAGCTGCAGGAACAGGAAGCCGTCAGTTTATTACGTATCGATAGACGACCATCTGCTTCCGCTCGTCCAGCCTCACTCTGATTCTGCTCAGCTTCTTCTGGATCTTATGGGCGACGGCGTCGGCCCACTGCTTCTCTCGCAGGAAGTCCCAGAAGATTCGGCCAATCAGAGCGTTGACCCAGGAGGCGGAGCCGGCTCCGGGGGGCGTGGCCTGATCGCAGGTGCACTGAGGAAGGAAGGAAGCAGAGCTAAGAGTCGCTCCAGATCCATTCACAAGTAGTAAAATCTCTGCTAGCTTACGGTGGTGTTAGCGGTGGTGTTAGCAGTGGGGCTAGCCTCTGTGCTGCTAGCCCTGGGGCTGCATGGGGGTGTGGCCTCATGTGCAGCCAGAAGGCGGGCCATGTAGCTGTGGTATTCAAGTGCAGAAAGTCCCCCTGTGGCGCTGCAGGGTACTGCAGGACCGTAGGAGGTGGCAGGCGTGGCGGGCTCGTTGTCATCGTCGCTGCTGGGGCCTCGGCTCCTCGGGACGGGGACGCTCTGGGACGGAGCGCCTGGAGGACAGAGATCTGCTGCAGATTATTCAGCGTTATTCATTAAGTTTCCTCCAAAATGCAGAGAATCCAGGCAAAGCGAGTTTCTGGATGTTGCCTCAGACAGGAGCAGAGGTTCCCAATATGAGGGCCGCAAAATGATTTCTGCACAGAAACCATCAGGTGGATCCACAAATGATCTTAGTGGTTTAGACTGTGAGTCAGATTCAGCATCATGGGAGACCAGGAACCATCAGTTTAGACACCTGGTTTGTGTTACAGCGCCACCGACTGGCCCGGCAGACCTACTGCAACGCTTTCTGTGTCATGGACCAATATTTTATCTCATAAACCGTCTCACTAAGAATCAGAGTGATGTGTATGGAGGCCCAAAAGAGACAAATTAAATAATGAATACATTTTGAAATAAATAAGGATTTTATTAAATGTCTGACTGAATAATGTAATATACTTTCTGAATGATATAATTATTTCACTGTTTAATGAAATAGGTGAAATAATTATGTAATTTTTGGGAAACCTGCTTTCAGGCAAATATCTGATAATAAATGCAGATTTCATTACAATATCATAATCTCACATTAACCCAACCATTTATTTGAGTCAGTTAATCTGTGAGGATAACTCATTGAGAAATTATTGGCATCCCTAATAATTCCTATAAAATCTGTCTTCAGTTTTAATCTGAGGTGAAAGTGAGCCTGTCTGTGGATGAACCAGATTACCCTCATCTGTAGCAGCCATTTTCCACTTCATGGTTCCTTTCTGGCTTTTCATGTCCTGTTCATCAGTTTTAATATTCCTGATGGTTTTGCTCTGTGCTTTAGTATTTTTGGTTTTTCTGCTCTGGCCTGCAGTCTGCAGCTCTGCTTGTTCTCTGTAGAACCAATTAAAATGTTTAAAAATGCTCTTTTCTTTACATTAGTGGATTTATCTAACTTAATATTTAAACTGAAGCTAAATGTTTATATTAGCATTAAGTTTTAGTTTACAAACTAAATATTTAATTTGAAAGTTTCATTCATTTACGAGTGAAAAACAGTGAAAATGTTTCTCTTGTCCATATTTAACTATATTACTGCTGTTAATCTCTGACTGTGTGACTTTACTAAACCCGGCTGCTTCCCGACCGCTGCAGCATTTGGGCTCTCAGTAGTTCTGGTTCTGCCTTTAGCATTAGCTTTAGCCTCTACAGCATTTATTCATGAGGATGATTTCCCATAAGACTTTCTGCTCTCTTTCTGTCCAGAGCTGGAGTCGTTTGTTACCGGGTCGTTTGTTACCGGGTCGGGTGGACCGTCGGCCGGCTCTCGGCCCGTCCCGGACCGCAGACGCCCACAGGAGGTGGCGGAACCACTCCTCCTTCTCCCGGCCCGTGCGTCCGAAGAGGTAGAGCGCAGGCGGGGCGGCGCCAGCTTGCGTGGAGGAAGTCTGTGCTGGATGAGAACCCAGGTTCTGTTCTGACCCGGTTCTGTCCTCCTCTGCTCCAAGCTGGATGCAGATGGGATACTTGGGGTTCCAGACTCTCTTCCGAGCCAGCGCCGCCGGCAGGAGGAAGACCTTCAGGAAGGAGGCAGCATGATGAAGAACCAGACCCACCAGAACCAGAACCAGATGTTTTCTTGTGGCAGTAAAATGTGTCTCTTCAGATCAAAAACTCTTTCTGATTTGATTCCTGAATGAATCTAATTTTTTGAACGTTTATAATTACCTTATTTATTGTTGTCTGTTACCATTTTCAGCTTTAGTTTTATATGTATCTGTGGATTTTTATGTCTTCAAAGCTTTTTATTTCTGCCTGTCTTGAAAATGATAATGATTAATAAAAAAGGTCATAATTACAAAGGTGAGTAAATAAATAAGCTAATAAAGAGACATATTTGTCTCACTGTCTAATTTAATTACTGCCAGCATTTATTAATACCGTATTTTCATGCTTTGCTTATTTGTTGAGCCTTTTTTAAATTTCTATATTTTCTCGTCATTATGGCAGGATTGGCTCTCCATAGATTTACTGCCTCACTTTTTCATCAGTCAGTTGAATTTTCTGCTCCTGAACCTGGAGCATAAATCTGCATTAAGAATGAAAAGTGAAATGAAATGTTCAGATCTTACTTTGCTGTTTGCCAGCCAGAAGCAGCGCGTCTTGATGAAGCCGACTTCCTGCGGCGGGTCGTCGTGCGCGGCGCGGCGCCTGATGTTGCAGCGTGGGTAATCCAGACGGAGGCTGCAGCCCTGCAGCGTGGCGAACACGGAGTGAGTCAGAGCCGGGTGGAAGATTTCTGGGTCGTAATCCTGGATCTCATTCATCCAACCCTGAAAACAGCAGCAGGTTTAACAGACACCAACGTTTATTCAAGAAGAGCTGCTGACCTTCAGGAATCAGCTGCAGACCTGAACAGCTTAATAATTACTGTCATAATATTTAATAATAATAATAGTGATAAAAATTATAATTACTATGAATAATGAGCTCTGTTGGCTCTGCTGTTTGGATCATTATTCCTCTGGTTCTGTGCAGCTGGAAGGATTGTTGCTCTTTTACTTTTGGACAGTTATTATAGAGCGTAACCATGGTAACAAGCATCTCAAAAGCTCAAATAATACCTGGAGTATGAAGTCAACCCGTCCATCATGACGGACATGAACCAAACGCCAGACTCTCTCTACTCGTCTTTCTAACCAACAGATTTAAAGAGGAGCAGCAAAAGCAAAGGAGGAGGATCAGCAGAGCTAGCTAACAACTGGTGATGTCACCCAGGATGTCACTGTGGAATATCAACTCTGCTGCCTGACGAGCTTTTAGCATGTTAGCATGAGACCAGGCAGTCTTCAATCAGAGGAATCTGCAGACTCGCTGAAACACTGACTGCTACAGGAGCTCCTTCCTGGCCTCAGCAAGAACCTTGGAGGACCTGAGTTAAAAACATTTAGTTTCCCTTTGGGAGAAATATCGGATTCCTGAATGAGCTGCGCTTAGACGAGCATGAAGCCAAAACAAACCCAGACAATATAAAAGATTAAAAATGACTTGGAAAACCTTCTGAGTGTGGAACGTTTGAAGCTTTCAAGCTAAAGCCAAGCTAGCGATCAGCCAGGACAGAGATTATCCTTCTACAGCGTTTTCATCCTCCAACATGGAGCCGCTGATGGCGACCTCTGACCTCCTCCTCCAGCCTCTGAAGCCTCCTGCTGCTGCCGGGCTCAGCCAGAAGGAGCGGACTAATTACGGTGCCGCCGTGGTTCTGACGGGCCTAATTGGACCCGGGGTGCCTGATGTTCTGGACTTGTGTTCCTTTTAATAAAACTTTAATCTGTGATGGAGACGGACGGAGGAAGGGAAGCGGCTTGACGCTCTCCTTGGAGAACAATCAGGAGAAAAGCAGCGCTGCTTCCTGCTGTTCAGACGGACTCAGGTTAAGTTCTGGTTCTGGATTTGAAATATTTGTAATATTTCTTATTGTTGGTGCTCATGCAGCCTGAATCCACTTCAGATCTTCAGTTCTGTTCAACCTCCTGTTTATCTGAGCTCTGATAACATTTGGTATGAAAACTTCTGACCTGAGCTTCAGTTTAATCAGCAGAAGATAAAAAGAAACAGAGTGGGAGTCGAACTCTGTCAGGAATAAAATATCTAAGTTGTGAGGGGTTTTTTTTGTGAATCTTTTCCTTCAGTTTTATTGGATGAAATCCCTGAAAATGTAATAAATGACGATTTATTATCTCAGGTTCACATATGAATATCTGAAACCTGCTGAGACGAATCAATGAGAAGCAGCCAAAACGACTGAAGCTGCTGCGACGCCGAGCTTCTGTCAACTTACACAAAATTACCAGCAATTATTTCATTTATCCTCTAAGAGAAAAAAATGGGATTCATTTTTAGGTCTTATTTAATTACTCAGTTATAAATGTCATATTTTCAAACTAAATATGGAAATCCACTTGTCTATAAGCAAAGTAGACTATCAAAATAAAAGCTGAGTGGCCGCTGATGCAACATGTTGCTGTAGATCCGTTGCTAAATGTCTGGATTGCCTTTAAAACGGAGAATCTTTATTTTAAGCTGAAATGTTCAAGAACAGAAACAAGGACAGGGATGACATGAGGCGACCTGAAAGCAGGAGTTTATCGAGGCTACAAAGAGACAGCTTTTATTTTGGTAGTTCACTTCCTGGTAGCGGCAGGTGAATTAGCTTCCAAGCTAAATATTTAGTCCTGAGCCAAACGCTTATGTCCAAACTAAATATCTGGCTTGAACCTGACATAACTTTAGCTTTGTGAAAATATGACTTATTAATCCAGACTGTTGGTGGCAACAGCGGCCAGTACTTCATGACTCTGTCGCCTACCTGAAGGACGTCGGGCTCGGCGCTGAAGCCACCTGGGAAACGGGCCTCACCCTGCTGGGTCAGCGCCGGTCTGCGTGCGTTAGCCGAGCCGGACGAACCGATCCGAATGAGGAACAGGCCGAGCAGGAAGCCCAGAGCCAGTCCCAACGCCAGGCCCGAGACGTACGGACCCAGAGGAAGGATGAAGTAGCCGTAGGACAGAACCGCCACGCAGAACAGACTCATGCACGGCAGAGGAGGCTGAGGATCCGGACCGGACCTGTCTGGTGCTGGGGCGCCAGGCGACCTCCTGACCCTCCTGGGAGCTTCAGTGGCAAACACTTGCATCATGTCATCATCTTCGCATATTTCCAGCTCCTGCTGGTGATGAACGGGACACGGGCGGCGCCGCGCTCCGACCGAAGGCCAGTCGAACACGGGAAGAACGTCTCCATCTGGTCTCCTTCCGGTCCTCACCGGAGACTCTGAGAGGACGGTGTCCACGCTGCCGTCCCTCCCCTGATGAGCCGCCGTGGACCTGCTCTGGTGTTTGGGGCTTCCTGCGCCGTCTTCCCCCATGATCTTGCTGAACATGCTGCTCAGAGGCTCATGCATGGCCTCGGACAGCTTCCTCTTCGTGTCCTCCAGCTCCATCTTGAAGAAGCCCCCCTTCAGGCCCTCCGCGCTGGGAGAGAGAGCGCTGGGGGACGGCGGGGCCGTGCGAGAGTCCCCACCGCCCCGGGGTTTGGTTTGGGTCAGCTGCTTCCACAGGTGGAGGTTGAGACGGGAGTCCGATCTGGACTGAGACACCTCCGGCTCCGAGTGGGACAGCTCCGTGGAGATGGACTTCACCAGGCTGAGGAGAGGCCTGGGTCTGAGGGTGGAGCCCTCTTTCGGCTCAAGCTCAGTGGAGAGTGACTTGACGAGGCTGGCCAGGGGCCGCTGGCTGTGTGAGGGCGGCCCTGGGGAGAGGAAGCTAGGGGGCGCTGCAGAGCAGTTCCCCAGGGAACCAGGCGATGACGGGGAAAGAGGAACATGGAAGTTCTGGGACTTCAAGTCTTTGTCGTCCTCCGCAGGAAGCGGCTTCTCCTCGCCGTGGTCCAGGGAGAAGATGAGCTCATCGTCCTCCAAGCTGTCCCACTCCCCTTCGGTGCCGGTCAGATGGATCACAATCCCCCGGGACTGGTTCCGCTTCGTGACGCCAAGTGGGAAGAGACTGTGAGGGTCATGAAAGGTCCTGCTGCCCTCGCCTGTGTCCTTCCTGCCCTGTCCCTCCCCGTTTTTTCCATCATCTGCCATTTCTCTAGTTCACATCTCCAAACCGAGACACCTGTGGGTCAGGAGAAGACAAACACGGTCAGCTGCATCGCCTCTATACCGTATCGACTCTACGCCTCAGAGACGGAGCAGATACAGACCAAGGCCTGCTTTTCATAGCTTCTGACTCATTTCTGCAAAATGAGCACCAACCAGGCTTTAACTTGTCACATTTGTGTCCTCTGGCTTTAAAGAATCATGAAATAATCTGAGGACTAGTGAGTCTGAATCCCAGCCAAGTCAACATGTCGCTCCACAAACTGATGAGCTTCACAGGCTCACAGTTTCTGTCTGAATCTGGGGCGACCGGGCCTGGAGACTGACGTCCAAACGTCTGATTCAGACACATCCGTCACAAGAACAGGAAGAAAATGTTTAATGAAAGAAGAGTCACTCTGACATCTGAACTAAAATCCATTCCAGTTCATATCTTCAGCAGTCTCTTAACCAGCCGTGTGTAACTCAGGCTGTGTTCTCACACCGAACGTCCTTTTGGTTCGTTTGTTTGGTCCGGAACAAAAAAATACTTTATATTGTTTGGTTCGTTTTGGTTTCGTTGATTTTTCTTCCAAGTGTACGATAATTCGTAAACGATTCGGTTATGATCTTTGCTCTCACTGGGCAGAAATGACGGACAGACCTGGAGAACCGAACTGTCCAGATCTGCTTGTTCATCTGCTTTATGATGTCATTTTTCTGAATCTGGATCTGCTGAGGCTTTACGAACCAGGAAACGGATCAGGTTCAGTCCAACCAGAACCAGCAGGGTTAGCAACCCTGAAGGCCCATCGTTACCATGACGCCCAACTACAGTGGCTCATGAAGTCCAAAAAGACGTTTATTTCCTGTAGTTGGTTTGGACTCGCACTAGAACTGGACCGGGAAGCGGTTCTGGTTCTGGTTTGCTGGAGACGAACACCAAAACATCTGCAGGTTCTGTAGAGTTCTGGTTCAAAGCAGCTGATTTTATCGGGACAGGAAATCTCAATAAAACGCAGAACATTGGTTTTGAATCTGAAGAGATAAAGTGAAGGGGGGACAGTTAGTGATGCAGCAATCAGGCGCCGATTAGTTTGGTCTGACCGTCAAACCCTGAACTTAGTTTAAAACAGAAGATTTTCTCTGTTGATCTGAGTCAGAAAATCAGACATGAGTTTTGCTGCTGGTCAACGGTTCATCATCATCTGGATCAGAGAAGCAGCAGCTCATTTCCTCCGTAACGACTGCACTGAGTGGAAATGTCCTAAATTAAAGCATCTTAAATCCTCCTCAGGCTGCTGGAGCCTCATCGCTGCTCTGCTTCCAGCTGAGATGAAACCAGTTTTCCTTCCATGGAAACGGCAGAAAGCTCAGAGACGCGGCTGCAGGTCAAGCTCTGGATGCAAGTTGACCCGACTTCTAACTGATCACATTTATGTAACGGCATTAAAATGCTGCGCGGCACAACGTGAACCACGTCCACAGCAGCTGGTGGAGTCGTTATAATCTGCTCTCGCCCAAAACGGACGGAGGGGGATGAACCTGTTGCTGGGGTCAGTCTGAGCCCCAGAGTTTCCCCTGCTGGGACGGGAAGCTGCAGCATCAGAACCACACGGCGACGTTTCATTTCCTGAGCCGCAAACCGGCGTCCGGTGAGGGGAGAGACGTTTCTGCACCAAGAGATTCTTTATCCATTCCTGCTGTTGGATTTTACAATATTAGAAAATGAAATAAATATTTCTGTCCATGAAAGGATGACATTAAAGAGTTATATTTTATCTGAGTGGAACAGTATTCACTGTGAAAATGTTTCTCTGGATAGAATCTGCATAATGAGTTCTTGGGCGTCACTTATTAAATTATATCAACATATTTCTGTAAAGATTTATGTTGCAGCGGCGGCCATCTTGGTTTGACGAGACAGAATTTGCAATATTTGCAGAAAAGTCAAAAGTAGATGGGAAACAAAGGTTTCACAAACTGGAGCTCAAAGTTCAGTCATGGTTTGACTAGGCCATTTTCAGAGCCGGCCTGAGGGATAAGCAAACTGCAGCTGCTCAAAGCCCAAACAAGAAATCCTCAGGTTGACGAACTTCAGCTAAAGATAACTGATCAGTTTTTAATATTTAGTTCTGCTTGTGTCCGGGTCTGTGGGCCGTCTGAACGCTCACACCCACCAACAAACTCAGATTATCGTTAAATCAGGATTTGACTGTAAAATCTGACAAATCAACCAGCAGGATTAGGAGCTAAAGCTAAAGCTAAAGCT